GAGAAGGAGGGGGAGCTGTCAGCGGGATGAAAGAGAGAGGCACACATTTTTGTCAATTTTACTCTGGTTTCCAAATGTATTATACAAGGTAACTCTTCCAGCAAGCCCAGAATTGCAGGGCAATAGTTGTCACACCCTCTGAAATCTGTCAGCATTTAAAGCTGACAGAGGCCATGCCCTTAGCTTTGCCGTTGGAGAACGCCTTGGTTTCTTTCCAAGGCATGTCTGTGAATTTAGACAGATGTAGTGATAAAAATATTTGTCGAGTGGATATAAGGTTAACAAAACATTGCTTTGGTCTCCTTTTTATCAGTTAGAAGCAGAAGAGCAAACCTGAATGCAAATGAGTGTTCCAATTAGAAAACTGTGTCCTGGCAGCACTTGCTGGGGAGCAGAGGGAGACAGGTGATTTAAGGGAAATGGGCCTTCCGTGTTGATAACAGAAATAATGAATAAATATGGAAGCTGCTTTAGCTGAGTTACACTCTTTCTGCAAATTTCCAGCCAATAACTCAATGTCTGAAATTCTTTCTTCTCTAAAATCACTACCTTATTCCTGGAAAGCAAAATTCAAGATTTTTCTTTTTGTCCAGAGAGAATATTTTCCCAATTACTCAAGGGATATACTTTTCCACCTGGACTTCATTTCCGTTAACTGTATTGACTCTCATAAAAGGGAGTAAAATTATTTTTGCTGTTCACTTCTCTGTAAAAATTCCTTTGCTATGTATCATGTCTAGCCTCTTTTGTTAAACTTATTAGCACCACAGTGTCCAAGTCCAGCTCCAAGGGCAGAGACACACACACAAGATCTGAAATGTCCATCAGAGAAGTTCAAATCTGACCCTCTGAGACTGGCTTAGTGGCCAATTCAAGTCTTTAAAAGGCATTTGGGAGTTTTGAGCTCCTTTAAGCCTCATCTGGATCTATTTTTCACAAAGTAACAGAGGCCTTTCTTTGGTGTTTTACCAAATGTGTCTTTTCATCCTGAGTGTAAGCAGGCGGTCTGATGCCCCGTGGAACCATCCTGGAAACATTACGTTGTAATAGCAATAGTGGTTGCTGAACGTCAGAGTGGAAAAGTCTGGTTCCTCTTCTAGGGGAACTTCAATTTGTATTTGTATTTCTCTCTTAAATCTGGTGAAGTCACATGGCAGATATTCTTCAATCTGTGTCTTACAGAAAAGTGCACCTGGCTTTGTTGCCATCAGGTCCTGTCTTCAAAAAGCTGAGGAAGGGGGAAAGGTGAGGAGAGAAACTGGCTTCCGCTGTGTTCCTGGGAACCCCCGAAATACTGGGGTGCCCCAGATCCTCCAGGTATGCTTTGAATGTGGTGATGACCTCTGAATTTCCATAAGATGGGAATGCATACTGTTGAAATTACCCTGGCGTGAGATCATCTTGGCAATTAAATGAATAGACCCCTTCAAAAGATAACTGCACCACAGTCAAATTTTTGTTATGGTAGAATTAGAGTTACATTGGGTTGTGGGCCATAAATCTAAAAGTGAAGGTGTATCCAAAGCAAATAGCATCTAAGAAATACATCAGATGAGGAAGTGGGCTAACATGAGGGTGTGTCAGAAGGGAGGGACCTGAGGACAACCTGTACCTCCCTGACTGCCTGTCACCCTGTGGGCCATTCATAACAAACAATACCATTTTCTTAAGTGATGCTGAATGCTGTATTTGCCTTGGCTCTCTAACTGAACTAGTCCTTGTGTTTTCATCTAACCTTGTCAAGGTGAACACTGTCATGCCTACAAACACCATTTTCAGTTTGAGAATGTTTTTAAGAAGCACATTTGTTTTTTCTAAAATAGAGATTTTTTTGCCCATTAAGGAAATACTAACATGGTAGCTTTCTGTACATGTTATTTTTCCAATTTATAATTCCTTTTTTGTATCTTAGTTTGGCAGCAATTTTGGTTATAATCATTATCATTGTCCTAAAACAGCAAATACTATGTGAGCTCCTGCTAGAGACACAATCCTAGGCACTGAGTGCATACAGAATATGCACAAGTGAATCCCTGCTCATTAAAGAATTCCAAAGTGGCTACAAACACGGGGTATATGAACCAAATTCTATGGAACAATATGAGGAAGCAGTTGTTACTTGTCTGGATTGCAAATGCTGAAAGATTTCAAAAGATATAAGTGGAAGACTTCTCAGATATTAAGCTTCAACATGTATAAGTATGGATGATGTGTTTTCATTTGTGGATCAGGGTACAGATTGGGGTAAAGCAGTGGTGGTGATGGTGTATGTAAATTTGGTGCATGTGTGTGTGTAAGATAAGGAAGGGACACAAAGTTGGACTTGGGATGGTACATGCCATGTTCTGTAATCCATCAGCTTATTTGTGGATAACAGAAGGTGTGTCCATAATGGGTGGATGCCAAGATACAATCTCAAACTATATTCTGAAGGATACACTAGTCCTGATAAAGGTTAAGGGAGCAATAATTTCTGTGGTAAAATAACCATAGGAAGTGCTAAAACTAAATGCCCCTTTTGAAAATGCAAATGCAAAGGTACATATAAAATTTTGGGCACATCAATCCTCATCCTTAAGAAGAGAACTTTTTTCTCATCTTCACAAATTTTGAAATAACTGGTTTAGAGAGATGCCTATTGCTTGGTCTAGAAGGAGTGGACATTAACCTGAAAGTAATTGAATATGATCAAATTCTTCTGAGCAGATGGGAAACATGCTCCAAATGGTAATTTAGAAAATTAATCTAGTAAGGTTTAGAGTATAGAGTAAGAAGGACTAGAACCAGGAGACTGTTCTGAATATTTGCCCCTAATCCATTCTAGCATAATTTACAAAGTGTTGGGAATTTTGTTTACTTGCTTTTAAAAATTATTTTATCTGCAGCTTACTCTTTTTAGTTTTTTTTAATTAAATTTATTGGGGTGACAATGGTTAATAAGACCATATAATATCAGGAGTACAAGTCTATGAAGATTGGACAAAGCAGATGTGCTACATATTAGGTTTACAGTTCTGAGTACATAAAACACAGAGTTTATTCTTACATTATGATTTAATAATTATTATATTTTCTATATAAACAACTGTAAATCTACATTTGCCCCACCCTGTTTATACAATAGACTACATTATTTAAATAAAGTATTATTTAAAATCTCAATAAATAAAAATAAAAGTAAAATCAATATGAATAATGAAGGAGATAAAGCAGAGTTTCAGATTAAGAGCAAGAAAACAACTGTTTTACAACATGTGGCTACTAGGAGAAAATCAGGATGGATCTGAAAGCTATAACTTCACAAGGAACACAGGAAATAATTTTCAAGTTGCAAAATGCTGAATTGTCCATAAACTAAAGAGAACTGAAGTAATCTAAAAGTTACTAAAACAGGATGTCATGGAGCTAACAATAAATTGAGGCCTCAAGCTCCATTGAGGGCAACCAATGAAGAAATCCTCGTCTCTCAGGGATTAAAATTAAACAAGAGCCACTTTAGGTTTATTTATGTCTTATTATCCTCTCTTAAGTCTCTTATTTTACTGTCCCTTCTCATTTTTCTTTACCCTTCTATTTTCTTTTTCTGCTGTTTCTCTCTTTTTGAAGTATATAATACACAATTCACCTTTTGATATTTCTGGCACATTACCATAATATTCTCAGTGAGGAAACAGACATCAACAATATGACAAGGTATTAAACATAGAAAATGATGTGCATAATATTATTTCTGCAGCTGAATTTTTGCTTGTTTTTGTCAATGAATATCCAGATTGACATGAGAGAACATTCTCAAAATGAGAACCATTTTTGCAATGGAGTCTGATCTGACACAACACAAGGTGAAATGAAGGTTTTGGCTCTTGATCAGGTAGAACTATGCACATAATGTTTCCTATAAGCAAATATTTAAGAATTCTAACTGTGAGGCAGACACAATGTCCATAACAGAGATAATGGTGGAGAAGCTTCCATATTATGCTTCCACAAACACAGTCTGTAGTGATATCCAAAGAGAAAAAGGGCATGCATTAATTTACTAAATAGCATGACCCAATTCTTCCCCATTTAACTTTATTCAGGTGTACATTTTCCTTGTTATTCTCAACAAAACCTTCCAAACAAATACCACATTAAAAAGAATTAAGTTTCCTACCTTAATCTGAGAGATTCATCAAACTAGGTATCCCTCCCTTATAGTAATGACCTTAAACTGTTTCTTTACATGTGTTCATATTTGATTTTCTAGATAAGACTCTCACTGAGAGAATTTGAGCTCAGAAAGATTGCAATCTATTTTTGCTTGATCTGAAAACTTTACAATGACAAATAAACTCCATTTTACCTTAATATTCTAAAACAGATTTACTAACATCCTGAGAAAAATTATTAGGTAAATGTCACTGAAGTGGAAGTATATTTAAGAGCTTTAGGCTAGTGATAACAAATAATATAAGAATATTTGCTTTCATCTGTAAGAAAAGGAGTCACTACTTAGAACCATGCATCAATATCAAAAGCATTCTCTGCAGTTTTTTAAAGTTATTTGTTTTTATTAAGTCGCTTCTTCAGATTTTTAAAATGTAAATATACAGATACATACATGTGTTTGTATTTTAATGTATCTTTTGTAATTCACAACAAAATAATGATAATACTAGGTTTTATATGCAGTATGAATCATCTAAGAGAAAAGTCTTATTTTATTTAAAAAAAACTATCAGAAGTCAAATCATTCCAGAGCAAAATTTAGTTTAATAAAAGACATTAAACCACAGTGTATCTAGCTATTAAACATGGTATTAATATAATATTTAAAAGCACAGAAGAATATCTAAATAGCATCTTGAGATTTCTCACTGGCATTTGGCATATGTTTTGAGTCTCTTTAAATCATAGCAATCTATATCCATCAGAAAAATATCTTATTTTTTCTGTTAATCTTGCCTTTAACGACAAAATAAAGAAATAAAAATAATATCAAAAGCTAAATCACTTACCATAAATGCCTGTTGAAATGCAGGGAAATGCCTGTGAATAAACCACAAAAATAACAATAAATTTTAAAGAATAACTCTGCTTGACTCCAACACTATTTATTTGAACATCTATTTTGCCTGATAATGGGATGCCCGCACATATACTCAGAGCTCTGAAATCCAGCTTTTCCATGCCAGTATTCATATCAGCTCACAAGAGCCAACTGTCACACTTTCAGAAATCTTGTGAACCAATTGTTAAACATAGTTATTAATAAGAAATTAAATTACATAAACCAGTAATAAAATGTTATTTGTGAAACAAATACTCAGAAATCATCTCATCTCTTCCTAATTACTTTGACACATCTATTATTACCTCTGCTCTTGAGATTACTTGTGTCTGTCCTATGCATATGGTACAAATACTATGTAATGGTGTGTTATGAATGAGCATCTTACTCCAGTTCCATATTGAGTGAGGTGATGCTGATGGCTTAAAATCTGAATATATCAATTAACATTTATGTTAGACTATACTTGAGGGTCAATGGAAACCATAGGTTGGCAATGGATACAAAATTTTGATAAATTTAATAAAATTGTTCTGTAAGAATAATTGACTATATAAACTTTATAATAAATAGTATTATATTTAATTTATTCTTATATTTGTGTGATACACATTCTTTTTATCAGTAAAATTAAAAAATAAAATTGTATGCACACATACTAATTTTTATGTCAGTTTTTAAACATTTACTGGCGCACCACTGCTATACCATATAATATGGATCAACGTTCTCCCAGATTAGGTCATAGGAATGGAGCCTTATGATGGGATTGATGTTCTTATGAGAGAAAGAGAGCTTTCCACCACAAGAGGGTATGAAGAGAGGAAGGAAACCAGGAAGTAGGCCTACACTAAATAACAGATCTGTTGGCATCTTGATCTTGGACTTCACAGTTTCCAGAACTATGAGAAATGAATTTGTCTTATTTAAGCCACCCTGTCTATGGCAAATTTTTATAGCAGTCCAAACTGACTAAGACACCATATTTTACTTAGCAATGTTTAAAGAATTAGATTGAAAGAGTAAATGAACATATGTAAATATATAGGTAATTCTTAATTAGATTTTCTAACAGTAGAAAGTGATCTGAGCATGGCAGTGTCTTCTGTCAACGTATCTTTGTATAAAGTTAATAAGTTCTTTTCATCCTTCTGGTCTTTGTAGTTTTCCATTGAAATTAAAGATGATAACATTCACCATATAAAAATGTGCCATGGGAATTAATAACAAATTTTTAAAAGTGACTGATACTGCCCTACAGAATCTAAAACCTCCACTTGCCATTGACTATAATAAGTACTATTACTATTGAGCTCAATAATAATAAAACATCTGCTTTTTAAATAGTTTGGGGGTTGAATATGTACTATATTTTATTTTCCTTAATGTTTTTATAGACTTTGTGCTTATTCCCTTTATGTGAATATCTCATTTAAAGAGTCACACACAGTGTATGTGATCTTATTTTAGAGAATAATAATCAACTCTTTTAAATTCACTTATACGTGTGCAAAATGATAGACTTTTTCCTCTTTCTTTACTAGTACTTGTTCATGTTTCTATTAAGAGTATTAGTTCCTGAAATAAATTACAACTATTTCATAATGAATTAATAAGTTCTGTCTTTGATTCCTTGAGTTCTTGAGGTGCCAATAAGATGTGAAATGTGTTCTTGAATGACTCAATCCATCCAATAATACAAAACCATGAAGTGAGAGTATGAAATGAATTCTTCTGAAAATATTGGAGTTCCTGTACAGGAACTGTACATTCACCTGGATTATCACCAAGTCTTTCTCTCTGTATGAAATCAACTTCAAGCTACCATAAATAAATTGTTACTAACAATAAGGGCCCAGAGTACAGGAATGGCCTACTTAAAAATACATTAAAATATCCAGGTTCCCAGTTGGGGGCAAATGAGAAAGGATCGCACATTGATGTTTCTCTCTCTCTCTCTTGCTCTTTCTTTCTCCCTCTCTTCTTCTTTCTCTAAAAATAAATAAATAAATAATCTAAAAATACATTGAAATGTAATGTATGCTCTGCTCACTCATGTTTTACTGTGTCCTTTAAATGAGTCAGGGAGATATGAATTTTGGAGCTCATGCTGTAGATATTTCATGAGAGGGAAGTGAAAGCACAAATATTGTACATTTTGTGATTGCAGTAGAAGAAGACAAAGGTTTGAAAATAGCTGCATGGAACAATCAATTAAATGTTAGAAGATACCACAATGTTTTAAATATGCAAGTCCACTTTAATTCTCACCTGGACATCTTTCCAGTCCATGCTTATGAGACTGGCCTCAAGGGGTCTATGGGAAAATTCAGAGGAGTAAGCAACACAGAGAGTATTCTGTCTGACAAGTAGTGAAATCTCAATGAATGCTGATTCCTACAGTGAGTACTGTAAAGCCCATAAGACTCCACTTCAAGGGGAAACTTGCCCTAGAGCAAGGCTTCCTATCCTTGGCACTATTGACAATTTGGATCTGACAATTCTTTTTTGTTGGCAGCTGTCTGGTGCATTTTGAGATGTCTAGCAGCAGCCCCTGACTCTATCCACTCAATGCCAGTAGCATGAGCCCTTCATGACAATCAAAGTATATATCCAGACATTGTTAAATATCCCCTAAAGGGCAAAATCACCCCTTATTGAGGACCACTACCCTCTAATCTAGGACCTATACTGCAGCAGTGCTATCAGAGGTTGCCAATCATTGTCTAAGATGCAAAGAGCCACCTCACTCAATGTCATGCCCCTTCCCAAGGCAGTCCATTTCCAATAATCAATCAGTGCAGAATATAAAGGCCTTGGCTCATCTTGGCTCAATTCAGTGCAACACTGATAGTCCCTACCAGCTTTCTTCCCCTCTTTCCCTCTCTTTTCCAGGTACTGATCCCGAGGGCACACCTTCATAAACACCCTGCATCCTGAACTCTGTCTCACAATCTGCTTCATGGGGAACTAACTTGAGTTAATTCTCTTCTGCTTCCCTGTCAGGCTCATTCATATGAATCATTCTCTCATCAGATCTAGCAAAAGAGAGGACATACTGAATAGTTAATGGCAAATTTCATTTGTGTCAGCTCCCAGCTCTATCTTGGAATCAATCATGCAACTTAATAATTGAGTCTGAATATACCAACTGCCTTGTCTGTTTTAAAGGACAAATAGCTTCATCTGAAAATGACATTGTTGCCTTGAATGTGAAGGCAAACAGACATGTAACAGAGAATGACTTTGGTGATATTATTGCATTGATTCAAACAAAAATGCAATAATAAAGCAGAGATGGAAATACAATATCATAGAAAATTATTTTATATAAAACAATTTGCATATAATTCATCCAAACTACATCTCCTCCATTAATCATTTGTTATTGCTTAAGAGAGAAAGAGACAAAAAGAGAAAGAATGAGGAGGAAAAAAAAGTGAGCAAGTGAGCTCAGCTAAAGGATTTTACAGCACATAGTCTGTGCTCTTTGCCATAATAAATTTCTGATGGAGCCACAAGAAATGGGTAGCATGGGATTTCTTTATTTCAAAGATATGTTTAACATAGACACCTCCCCAAAAAAACTCCTCTCCTATGGAAAAAATGGTAGCTTGTACCAAAACTCAGACCAATTAGCCTGGTTTGTTGTAAGTTCACATAACTCAGCAGTCACCTGTAGAGCTTGGGGAATGACATCACCAGCCTAATTTATAAGGCTCCAGATTCTCTTTCCAGCAAAACTCAGGAGCAAGAAGTTCCTGTGCTAATCAGAGATGATCATATATAGCCATCAGAAACTTGCTTCATAGCACTTGACTTTTAGCCAGTTTATTTTTCCCCTCAAATCATCATGCACTTGCTCTCTTGGGGGAGAAATAATCTTTTGATTTGGAGAGTGAGAGACAATTTTCATTTTGTGAAATTATGGATTGGGAAAATACTTCCTTATTCCAGCATGAGCATTCCAAGTAGATTTGTAAAAACACAAATCCTTAAGTCTGTAAACTATGTCTCTCATCTTCTTTAATGTCTGCCTCCACTTATCCCATTTCAATAATTTGAGGGAAAGGAAGGAAACATTTTTTCACCTTTTTTTTCTTGACACTAACAGGATCTCAAAACCAAGACTACGCAACATCATAATGGTCACTTGCTTTTGCTTGACCCTTGACTCATGTTTCATACATTCATGCAAAGTGGCAATTTCTTGCTCTGCATTGATTTATTGTTTATGCAGAAGACTTGTGATCTGAATAGGTCTGCCTCCATCTTCGACTTCATTGGAAGGTGTTGACTGACTTAAATAAACAGTGCACATTCTCCATACAAGAACAGAGAGATAGAGGATTCTGAATCACTGAGCTGCTATCTTAAACTAACTGTAAAGTGCTCCCAACTTCTGTAATCTCTCTATGGCTGATTCAACACTTTTCTTATCGTTTAATCAGTTTTACTCAGATTTTCCATTAGTTGCAAACAAAGGCATGCTATCTACACACCTTCCATGTAAATGCTTTTAATTATATATCATGTTTTGCTGAATTGAAGAAGCTGGTTGCAAAAAAACATTATTTTGTTGAGTTTTGTCTACCACTAAGAAAGAGAAAGCTCTGTCAGTTAAATATAACAAGTGTTTTCTTATGCTTTAAGATTTATAATGTGTACTTATTGAATATGCTATTTTGGACTTATTTAGATCATTTCTTAAGTCACATCTTGTTCTAGAGTATAGATTAAAAGGAGATAAATTAATTAACTTTTTCTAAAAGTTTTTTATATTCAAAGTCCAGGGCTTCTGAATCACTTTTCAAAACAGAATCATTGATATAAGTTTTCCAGAGTTTCATGCTTGAGCTCTCAGGAGTGGTGGTGTTGATCCAGTGCTTCATGAGTGCTTCACTATGGGCTCTGAACTTTTCTTCCAAGCCCCTAACATAACACTCTCCCTAAAGCTGTGAAGCTGACTTCTTCATTG